TTCTATCATCCAACAATAAGACCTCGGGACAATGAGCGGGATGGCGCTCAATACTTCGTACCAGGGTTTCCCCTTCCTAGATTGTACACCGCATCTTGTTTCCAGAACGCTTAGGAACCTTCGGAACACACTTAACGCGAAACGCGGCTTAATATTGTCTCTAGTTGAGAAGAGCTCCATTTTTCTCGATCCAATCAATGAGTTCACCCGATGACGTTCAGCTGTAACGATTTTATGGGGGAGTGCCGATCCTTGGTGAGTTCATTTCTCTTCCTGACCATCTGGAAAAGAGCGGAGACCGGCTAGCTTTTCCTTGATTTCTGCTGTGTGGAGAGTATGACGATGTGAAATTAATCCAGGTCTGGGTTGACAAAGAAAATCACATTTTCAGATTTCAAAGAATCAAAAAAAAAAATTAAAATTTAATTGCCCAAGTCCCTCGATCTTTGTCTAAGTTCATACTAGCACTAGGTCTCGGGGAGGCGCAGAGTGAGAAGGATGCTAGATCTATCATCTCACTAACTCGCACTAAAACCACCCCACTGGTAGAACAGAAAAATTCAGCGTAAGCCGATCAGCCCGCCACAGGTAACGAATTAGCTTTCGAAGATACTAAATGTAGGCCTAATGCTGTTCCCCGGGGCCCGGGGCTCAGGGCCGTGGGTCTCTAGACACAACTAAACAGGATTTGGTATGTATCAGCCTTTACCCTTTTTGCTGGATCTGGGGGATGGATCTGTCGAATCAAAGGAGGTGGGTAGAGTGTACTGAAACTTTGGCTATTATTTCCACTGTGCTAGTGTTACAATCCAAAATGATCTGATCTGATCCCTATCAATCATATGTCCTTTTCCCTTTTTTTGCCTTTTTTTCCTTTCTCTACCGGAACCCTCACTGGTTCCCCCCGTGGAAAGGAATTAAATAATTAAATCTTTGTACCTCACTTCGATTCCTCGTTTACCCATTGGTTCCACCCCCTTTCCTTACCTCCGGGGTGCTTCTTCCGTTTCCCCCTCTGAACGGAACATGTCAGGTTTCTACATCCCCGATCCACCCATAATAAAAAGGGTTTTATTTATTAAATAAAATTCAAATAAATAAATCTAAATAAAATAAAAATCGAGACCCACTTCGTTCGTCTTTATCCTGATCCAATGTTTGCTGCCATCTGCATCCTGTACAGCTGTAACCGAAATGTCTAGTTGTGATGCTGAACGGTTGACGTTTTAGTTCTTTGGCGCCTGATCAATCTATAGACCTGTCCACTGTCAACATCTATAATAGCTTCCCCTTCCCCCTCCAGATTTTCCCTTCCCTTCTTTGGAATGACTCTCTCTCCCTTCTTACACTTCATTGATTTGCTTTAAACTCTACCTATCCCCCTTTGCCGCTCCCATTGGGATTCTTTATAGATCCCTTTCCCATTCTTGAACCCTGTCCCAGCAAAGCCCGGCTTTCGAAATTATTGTGTCGATCGTGTGATATTTGTCAATTGATATAAACTCTCCGCCAAAAGATTGTGTCAAACATCCCTTGCAGGTGTCTCATTGTCTGTTGGGACCCTACGTTATCGGATCCGATTGAATTTCCAACCGCAGGGGCAGCAATGCTGAAGCCCTAAAAGCAAACTCGATCTCCTTGCTCCGAACCAGCTATTACATTCTCTCCCTTACTACCCTGAGGATTAACTCCGGGGAAATTGAGACGAAACACAAAAGCACCTTTCTGGTACTTTTTCCACTCCCTTTCCGGCACATTCAATCTACCAATCTTGAACGCGGAAGTGGGGTGTATCTACGCCTCTTGAAAGTTCCTTTTTTCAGCACATCTCGACTTCGCATCTTCACAATGTTTCAACTACCAGCTTGTCTACAGGGCCGGCGATCCTGCAATGGCTCTGACGATATGTCTACCTTTCCAATCCGGCAATTGTTCGTGTTAGGTAAGTGTGGTACTTTTGCGCATCGCGAAGTATAAACAGCAACTATATTGGCGATGCGCCGCAACCCTCTATAAAATAGAGAGCTCGATTGCTGACGCCGTGATACAGCCCTCGTCCGGATCTGCGAACCAATTGCTTTCATGTCCATTTTCCCATACGTGTATCACATGGTTGAATCATTCCATGTGACGGATAACGACCGCCAAATCGCACTCTACGCCGGCATGATCACATCCTCGTTCACTTTTGCTGAATTCTCAGCGGGCATGTTCTGGGGCCGCATGAGTGACCGGATTGGCCGTAAGCCAGTGCTCATCATGGGCCTGGTGGGCACGGCCATTAGCATGGTGGTCTTCGGATTTGCGCCCAACCTGGCCACGGCGATGATTGCGCGCGCCTTGGGCGGCTTGTTGAATGGCAATATCGGAGTGCTTCAGACGACGGTTGCGGAGATCGTGACGAAGAAAGAGCACCAACCCCGAGCTTATTCGATCATGCCCTTTGTGTGGTGTTTGGGGTCGATCATTGGACCGGCTATGGGCGGCGCTTTGGCCCAACCTTGCGACAATTATCCGGCCCTGTTCGCCCGCAGTACGCTGTGGGACAAATTCCCGTTCCTGCTGCCCAACCTGCTGTGCATTACAGTGCTTGTGTGTGGTATTGTGGTCGGTTTCCTGTTTTTGGAGGAGACTCACCCGGAGAAGAAGCACCGACGTGATCCTGGTCTCGAGCTTGGTCACTGGTTGGTCAACTTTTGCTGGGGCTCGCGCGTGCAGCTTCCTGAGGATTCCGAAGAGAAGTACTTCGGATATGAAGCGGAGTATGAGAGCGCTGAATCGCCTAGCCTTGATGCCTCGGATGCGGAGAGTGACTTGGAGGGACAGAAGAACCCTGCCCCCAAAGCCTTTACCCGACAGGTCATTCTCGCGATCGTTGCTTACGGCATCCTTGCGTAGTGAGTTGGCCATCCGATCAATCCGATCAATCCGATCAATCCAATCTATTCCATACTGACATCTTCGTGTAGCCACAGCGTATCCTTCGATCAGCTGATGCCAGTTTTCCTGAGCACCCCCAAGTCCAATGACGACGTGGTCCTACCCCTCAAGTTTACCGGAGGGCTTGGTATGGCCACGAAGACCATTGGTTTCATGCTTGCCGTGCAAGGCGTGTACTCAATGATCGCCCAACTGTGGCTGTTCCCCTTCGTGGTCAAGCACTTTGGTACTCTACGTACATTCCGCTTCGTGCTGCTTGCCTGGCCGCCTCTCTACCTGGCCGTGCCCTATCTTGTTCTCCTTCCGGCTAAGCTCCAAATGCTTGCTGTCTATGTGTCTCTGATCAGCAAGATTACTTTCCATGTCATCGCCTTCCCCGCTACCGCCATTCTCCTCGCCAATGCCGCCCCGTCCTCGAAAGTGTTGGGCTCCATCAACGGAGCTGCCGCATCGACTGCCAGTCTCAGCCGTGCCTTTGGTCCGACCATCACCGGTCTTCTCCACTCCAGAGGCCTGGAGAGCGGTTACTCCGTGCTGGCCTGGTGGGCCTGCGGTTTGGTCTGCGTCATCGGCGCCATTCAAAGCTTCTGGATGGAGGAGTCCTCGGAGCCTGAGCGGTTCAAGTCCTGCCAGCCTGAGACCAGTGAGACAGAGATGAAGCGTGAAGCCATCCCTGACTTTGATGCCCAGGAGTTTGACTCTGACGCAGAGGAGGAGCAACGCTTGCTCTCCTTACGCTCCAGCGTCGACCACGACTTCGACATCTCGCAACTTAACCTCAACACCGACAACTTCCTTAAACCTGAACCCGCTGTCACCCATGATAACCATGTCTAGAGCTGAACTTCCAATTTTCAGTTCCTTTTCCTTTTCTCTTCCTTCTGGCAAGGCATCTACATTTCAGCGCTCAGAGCACACGGATTTCCATTTTCGTCTTTTCACTTCTCATGATACCTCATTTCGCTATTGTTTTTTTTTTTTCCTTTTCTTTTCGTTCTCATGACTTTCTCTGAGACCAGGAAACGGCGCAATTATAGATGGTTGCATATGCATATGCACAAGCATAAAATTTGGGTCTACTTTCTATCTCTTCCTTTTTTCTTCTGTCATCTTGTCATCTTGGAGCATCGCCCGGTTATATTTATCATGATACTCATGTGCATCTGGGAGGCTATTTCTGATTTCTGTTCGAGTTTCTCATGCATGTGTCTTTGTTAGAGCGTATTTTTACGGACTTGCTCAATATTAACGGTCGTCATCTTCTCTATCATCTTCTCTACTCTCTGTAAATGTCTTAGTCTCCATCCCAGTGTCGGAGGATTTCATCCACAAACTTAGTCCTTAGCACTGTTTCACTTCACAAGCCAAGCCATGCTTACCCTACGGCGTCCGGACGATTATGCAGGTATTTCTCTCATATAACCCTGGCTACTGCCTACTGACTATATAGCCCACCTTATACCTCGGCACCTGTATGTGTTCCCCAGACATCTGTCTGACAGCGGGGAGTGGGGATACTCCACGCTAACGGATGTCGCCTACACCTGGACAGATGAGACTACCTACATATACTATATGTCAGATCATAGCCCAAAGCCACGATGCAGGTCGCTATCGCCTTCCCGATCGGCTCCAAAAGTCTGGGGAACCGAACCGAGTCCCATCGCCAGTGGCTTCCCGAGGGCAACTTGACATCTCCACCCTATCTCTGACTTTGACCTCTCTCCATCTTCGAGAGTGTCTCATCAACAAAATCGATCTGCAGTACTGCAGTGTTGCAGAAAAGAAGTTATCGCCACTTCCGGGGGATAATCTAAGTCCGTGTCGCGCGGCACTTGTGCGGAGTGCGGGTCAATTTCCCACGATTCGATTCGAGAGGAAATTGCAACTACCGAACAACTCTTGCAAGTCTACATTGCACACCACGCAACTCATACGCTCATTTGATCTTATCATGACTGTTGATTCAGTCCGAGGAGATAAATCGTTCCCGACCGCAGTCTCCGCAGAACTCCGCCATCGAGAGATGATCGCGACTCTGCGGCTCCCCCTGTGCCACAATGCCTAACGCGCCCTCGCCGCCCTCGCCGATCTCTTCAGGCAAGAAGAGATCGCACCCTTCAGATACTGCGCCGAATCCCGAGGCGACGAATTCCGCCTCCAACCCCTCCGCCCCCACAGTGCCCTCTACCTCCCCCGCGGCCACCTCCTCGGCCTCGTCCTCGTTCCGCAATGTCTCCGCCTGTAACCGTTGTCGCCTGCGCAAGAACCGCTGTGATCAGCGTCTCCCGCGCTGCCAGTCCTGCGAGAAGGCCGGTGTGCGCTGTGTTGGATACGACCCCATTACGAAACGGGAGATCCCCCGCAGTTACGTCTATTTTTTGGAAACCCGGGTAGCACATCTCGAAAAACAGCTGGCCGATAATAACATTGATTTCAAGAAAGTCGTTGCTTTCGACGAAGAGGAGGCTATCAAGGTGGAGGCTGATGGGGACTCGGCGCAAGCTCAGTTTGGTTCCGATGGTCAGGCTGGAAAGGGGTCTGCCGTGGAGAAAGCACGGAAGAATACATCGAAAGACGACGGGGATGGCTCGGATCAGAGAGATGGAGATATGAACCACGGTACGGAGGGTGACCCTCAGGATGAGGATAATTGGCGCCTGCATAATTTGGTCTCGAATATCGGCATGGTCTCTGTTCAGGGAACCTCCGATCCCCGATATCTCGGATCGACATCCGGTATCTCGTTCGCTCGTGTTGTCTTCGCCGCGGTCAGGAGCTCCCTCCCGGGCAACATGCCAGAGCGTGCGCCGCTACGCACAAGTGACAGGCTGCCTCAAAGCGCTGCTGCTGGTACGGGAGGAAGCATGCGTGATTCATTCTTCGGGCTGCAGACGAGACCCATGATGAAACGCGCAGATTTTCCTGACCGCGAGTTGGCCGAACGGCTGGTTAATCTTTACTTTGAACATGCCAATCCCCAAATGCCGATTCTCCACCGTGGGGATTTCATGGAGCTGTTGGACCGCACATACCAGCTGGAAGAGAAGGACCGCTCACCGCGCGCACAGTATGTGCTCAATATCGTGTTCGCCATTGGCGCTGGAATCATTTTCGACGATAAACCTCAAAGTTCGGACGATGAGAACCGTGCAAATCGGAACAGAGCTTCATCTACATCCAAAAGACAGAGACTCTCGAGTCATCAGTATCAGCCAGAGGAATACCATGCTTCGGCGATTGTTCACCTGGAATCGTTCCTTGGGTCGTCTTCTAGCGAGGGCTTTGGTGGATTGGAAGAGCTGCAGGCAGTGCTCCTTCTAGCCAGTTTCGCCCTCCTGCGACCAGTTGCACCGGGTCTTTGGTATATCGTCGGCGTTGCTATGCGCTTAGCTGTAGACCTTGGACTGCATTATGAGGATGGGACGGGGATTGATTCCGCAACAAAAGACGGAAATCGGGCCCAGTCACGCATTGATCCTCGCGAACGAGGACGACGAGAATGGGTGCGCGACCTGCGCCGCCGCCTGTGGTGGTGTGTATACAGTTTCGACCGTCTTGTCGCCACCTGTGTTGGACGACCATTTGGCATCAGTGATCAGGCTATCAGCACAGATTTGCCGTCTATGATGGACGATAAGTATATCACCAAGTCTGGTCTGCTGACTCCACCGGACGGAGCGCCGACATATAAGCATGTCGCATTCCACTACTTCAAACTCCGTCTTCTTCAATCCGAAATTCACGATGTCCTTCAATACCAACAAGCGCGTGCTGTGCGAAGAAGGGCCTCCAGCGCAGCCATCCTTCCCCACGCCGAACTCACTTCGCCTTTCTTGCAAGGCTTTGATTCCTTCCGCTCATGGCGCCATGATGTACACCGTCGATTGGTGGAGTGGCAAGAAACCGCTCCAACTCGCCCAGATACTGGCGTCAGGTTCTCCATTGAGTTGCTTGAACTGAATTATTGGCAAGCCATCATCTTGCTGTACCAGCAGAGCTTGACTGTACCTGCTGAGTTGGCCGGGGAGCTTACCCCTGCGGATGATGTCTCCAGTCCGTCCTTTTCCAATCCGGATGAAGGCGATGACGAGGATCATGTCTATCTTAATGTGGCCGAAGCTGGGCAGAAGGTCATTCGCATTTATCGCCAACTGCATAGAGTGCGCCTGGTGAACTATACGTATCTTGCTACGCATCATATTTTCATGGCCGGTATGGGTTTACATTTGCCCTCGTCTATCGGATCTTACTGACCTCGCACTAGGAATCTCGTTTTTATATGCCATCTGGCATTCGCCTTTGGTTCGAAGCCGACTGGTATGTGCTATGTGCCCCTGGTTTCTGTGTTTCCTCAGAATACTAACGCTTCACTTGCCAGACTCTCGATGAGGTAGACTTCACTGTCCTCGCCGCAACCTCTGTTCTAGGTGACCTGATGCATAAATGCCCACCCGCCGAGGCCTGTCGGGACGCGTTTGAGCGGATGAGCAAAGCCACCGTCCAGATGTGTCTATCAACAACTGGCTTCGGATCACAAGTCGACATGAGCCGCATTCATGCATCAAATGCCGGTAACAACTTACATACCGGCCGGAATCGCCAGCAGATGGACCCGCGACACCGGGCAGGCCAGGGTCAACCGCGGCGAGCTACACAAGCACGCTCCTTCCGTCCAGTTCCAAAGTTCGACATGAACTTGGCTGATCTCTTCAACGATAACAACCCGTTAGCAGACCGCTCTCGACCAGAGAATAGACCCGGAGGTCCTTCGTATACCCAACAAGAATCCACTGGCCGCAACTTCGCTGCAGAGAGATCATATGGACCTCGTAATCCGTCTATGGATTACTATCCAAAGTACGAAAACCCACCATCTCCACAGCCGCACCCACAATTCTACTACTCGACCTCGCCGCAGCAGAATGGCTCGCCGGGTACTGTTCCAAATGGCTTGCCGCATGCAGAGCCAGAATCGCAAGCGCAGCAAGGACTCAGTCTGGATTTCTTGGACTTTGGGTCGGGTGACGCCGACGGCCAGGGGAATATGGAGGGCGAGGCCAACCCTGAATACAATGCCATGTCTGTACCATCCCTGGGCCATAATCTCGGCCAGAATGTTGGGATTGACTTGGGTTTTGGGATGGCTATGGACTTCCAGCATGACTGGAGTGAAAATCCTAACTATGATCTCTTGGAGGGTTATTTCTTTGGCGGATCGGGGGCTGGCCCTTCTGGAGGGGATGCTTAGATTTTTATTATTTCTTTCCTCAGGTATTTCATTTCTCAGTTACTACTTTATTTTGTCGGTTTGGTTTGTTCTATTTTACCCATCTCGTGTACTGCTTTCCTGTACTGCTATTTCAAGAGGACCGGTGAAAAGGATTGGTTTCGCAAGGGTTGTGTATATTTTTTGGATTTTCTTCTCACTTTATACCATATACACATACATATATATATAACGTTATACCAAAATCTGCAAGGAATGAATTAATTGGCAAGGTGGAAGTTGTATACATGTAGCGGATGCCTTGGGCAGCAAAAACAAACACTCCCGCCATTTTTTCAACCCGCCAACACACCAACCTTGAATGCCTCAGTAGATCTCGCTTCCCGTTGGTTGTGATCTACGCTTGGGCCTAACTGCCTAATCTCATCAGGTGCCCACTTCGCCCTTCTATTCCCCTTCTCTTCTCCCCGCTTCCCCCGGTTTCATTTAGAGAGATGTTCATTCGTCGCGAACACAACCGATCCCCGACCTTCTCCTACCAAGCCGAGATCTGATTAGCGCCGAGACGCTGCGGCCAACCGAGACCCCGAGCGTACACCAAGAGGCTCTGCTCTGCCCTTCTTTCGATCTGGAACGGACTCGCCTGCAACGTTTTGCGACGGAATCTGCCTTGCGCAGGCCGCGGAACATACCCTTCGTTTCCCTCCTGCCTGTCTAGACCTGTTTCGAAGGATTTGCCTTCGTGCAACGGTCTCGACCATACTCGTGGGTTGAGCTGAACTTTGTGAACTGGACATGCATGGGACCGCAGATCGTTTGCTCGAACACCGACTATGCTCCTTGAGCCCGATACAGCCCCATAAACTCGCCGGAATCCCAGGATCAAGCTCAAGATGGTAAAATCCGACGTACGAAGGGATTACTATGCGGACCTCGGGCTACAGCCCAGCGCAGAGGCAGAAGACGTGAAGAAGCAATTCAGAAAGCTAGGTGAGCCCATGAATAAGTTGCGCGAATCGTTATGGAAGCATTCAGCTAACCAAAATGAAAGCGCTCAAGTACCATCCAGACCGGAACCCAGGACGAGAAGCCGAATTCAACGCGAAATTCCAAGCCATCCAAGCTGCAAACGAGATTCTTAGTGACCCCCAGCAACGGCTAAAATACGACACCGATCGTTTGCGCGCCGGCTACGGCAAGTTCTACGGACCCCCGAAGGCCAATACTCAACGCAAAACACAACCGTCTGCATGGGCTCGCCAATCGCCCACTTCTTCGGGCCCTCCTCCCCCAGACTGGACACACCCAAAACAGCAGACTGGACCATCAGCCGGTGCTCGGCGGTACGCGTCGCATGCGCGTGCCGGTCAGCAACAATGGCAGAAACAGCAGGATGATGGGCAAACAAGGGCTGATGCTTTCCGTGGCTTTTCGAATATGAGAGGTTCTCATGGATGGCAAGGATTTGACCCCACTACGGGTCGTGCTGCTGGTGCAGCTCCGGGACCCGGTGCACAGCGTCACCCATTTGGCAATTCCAGGCCGAAATCCGCGTTTGAGACTTTCCAAAAGGCATATGCCAAGACAGACGCTCCCAAGAAGAAGCAAGGCTTTGCGCCAGGAGCCGCTGGAGGAGATGAACCTATGGCCCGCAACACTTCTGCCTATAGCAGTAGCAGTCGAGCTGAACGACCAAGCAGCCAATACTTTGAGTCTGCTGTGCCGCCCACTGCAAAGAAACCAGCTGCTCCTGAACCGCCTCAGCATCCTTTCACGCCTGAGTTTGAACGGACTAGTCGAGGCTATTCTCAGACTGGAAAAGGTGAGAGGACTTTCGTTTCAAATACTCCACTGGGGCGATCAGAGAGCGTGCGTACACCTTCGGGGTCGTACCACCCAAGTGCACCTCAACCATCAACACCTACGTCTGGTCGATCTGGGAGACACCGGAGTGCTAGCCCCAAGCCCACCACAACCCCCAATAACTATGACTCCACCAGTGCGAGTGAGTCGGAAGACGACGCTGACGACAGTGAATATGTGCCCCGGTCAAATGGACCCAAACCCAAAGCGGTGCCCAAGAGCCGCCTCCGAGCGCACCAAAAACTTGCCGATATGTACCGCCAGGAACGACCAGGCCCCGGAACCGGTGAGGATCCCTTTCTCTTTATAATTCAACGAAGTCTCGCTTTCGATGAGGATGAAATTCGGGCAGCTAGAATGCTGCGATAAGGAGATCTACATCTATGGACATCGATATGCTGACTGGAATTACCCCAAAAGGACACACCTCGGATAGCGCAGCTTTCCCCAAGGGATCGAACCGGACAGATCAGCAATACAAACCTTCGGGTTCTCCCTTCACGGCCAAGTATGTTAGGTCCCCCTCTGCTTCGTGTTACTTTCTCTGATATATTGAACGTATAGGAATGACCCGTCAACGCATACGGAGCGTCCTCAGTCTACTGTCTTTGGGCGTAGCAGCACAAATGACTTGCACAAGAAGTTCTCTGCCGAAGACTGGCGGGAGCATTTGGGCCAGTTTGATTTATTCGGTTCGGCTTCGGCAAGCAAGGAATCACTGCCAAGGTCGCCAAATTCGCAGAGTCGGGGACGTACGAATAACCGACGGGGTACGACACAGACATCAACTGGGTCACCTCTGCCAAATCCTTTTGGCCCTACGCCTTTCCATCAACCATCACCCCAACAGCAGCAACAACCTACTCCCTTTGCACAGGCAAAGTTCTCCGCGGACTCGTGGGCTGAGCAGCTACGAAATCTGTCATGGGCCCCAGATGCCGAGAAAGCCCGGCAAACAAACCACCCTCAGTCTCGGAGCCCTAAAAAGCAACCCAGGGCCACCAAGTTGCGCAGTACTCCACAGCCAGCGAATGTGGCAACTGAAGCAGATGAGGCTAAAGAAACGATCAATGGCGAGGGTCCTACCCAGTCGAATGGCACAGCAGCGCCAGATGTTGAAGCAATGGATCTAGACTATGACCTCCCCACTCCGCTAGGTGTTCCGCCTGTATCAGCAAAGGTGCCCGTAGACGGATCAAGTGGTCCAGGCACTGCTAGTGCAAGTTATCCAGATCTGGCTTCTCAGGCAGCGCCAGATGCACCTCCGGTCAAGAAGACCAAAACTCCCCCAAGAGCAGAGGGCTCCGCAGCAAATGCAGATGCCCGTGCCCCTCTCTTCAACCTCGAAAATCTCCGCAACACCGTCCCCTTCTCTAGTACAGCCGGCGGAGGCATCGAGAACCTGGAAGACGTCCACGCAACGCTCCCCTTCCAGTCACAAGCGAAGCAGCAAAACTCCAATAAACGCGATATCCGACCTCGAGAACTCCAACTCCCAAACCCACCCAAACGACCCTGGGCCCCCAAGCCCGCACCCCTCACCCCAACCTCCACACAACCCGTTCTCTTGCGCGACAAATGGAACTGGTACGTCTCCGCAATGGGCACATACATGCACGAATGGAACGCCTTCAACCGCCGCATGCTCAAGCACTTCAACGCGCGGCAAGAAGCGAACGAAACAGGCCTGGCTCCAGGCTGGATCAGTGCAGTCGGCGACTCTTCACGTCTGAACATCAACGACGCAGATGATGACACTGACAGCAATGGTACCAGTGGTAAGACCAAAATCCGCGAAGATGCCGATGATGCTGTCGACGAGTTCCTTGTTCCTGGTTCCTCGAAGGGCGGCTTTAGTGCGTATCTTCGTGGCATCGAGGAGGATATTCAGGTGCGTAAGCATTGGGATGTTGCTTGTGAGATGCATCGCGAGTGTATACTTGATCTGGGTCGGTTGAGGGAGTGGATTCGGAATGGGGGGAAGGTTGTTTAGGTCATTGATCCTCCTTTATTGGATTGATACTTGATACTGCTCGGATGTACGATGAATGGGAAAAGACAAAGAAAAGAAGATGGCAGCTGGCATGTGGCTGGTTATTTGGTTTGGCGTTGCATGGTTGGCCTGGCTCTGCAGTGACTGATTCACATTCAGTATTCGGGGAGTTTGCTCTGGTTTGATCTGGTCCAGTGTCTGTACTGCCTTTCTGCTGTTGTCTTTTTTTACACCCCCATTTTAGTCTTCTTATTTTTCTTTTGTTCGCGATGCATGATCGGCTTGGTGTTTTTGTGAATACCCGGGATTTTTACCACATCTCCATAGATATATCTGATTCCATCAGGTTCTTTCAGTCTTCGATTTGTTGGTTCTTGTAGTGTCAGGGCTTGATATATCTAGTCAACTTTCTCGTTTCTCACTTGCAGAGATTACAACCAGCAATGCAACCTCTACTTGCAAACATTGCCTTTTCGCCTAAGTTGATTCTGCGGCTCTCCAACATTCGGCTTTTCCTTATTCAAATAACGCTTGAAATAAGTGGCCCCTCAAGCTCCTTTCGATTGGTACTAAAAGGGACGTATCTAATATAAACATCGTAGCAAGATATAAGGTAGGGTTTTGGTACTTCGTAAAGAAATCAAGCTTGTGCCAATACCAAACTACCGCAGAACGGAGTACTAAAGTGATCAGTGTCCATCAGTTCTATAAACAGTATGAAGCTGAACTGCTCACATGCACAAGCTCTGAAACCGATCATCATACTTGGGGAAAATTGTGGACCACCTGCAGCCAACCTGCAGCCGAATCAATAGTCAATCGCATACCGATCACAAACCCAGGATGATCACTCCTAGAAAGGGCGCCCCTGTAATAATGTTTGTGGTGACCCCTGGCACTCACAGGGACCGACGCAAGGGATAAAAAAGACAGATGGCATCTCCTTGCACAAACAGTCATTTCGCCCGCAACTTCAAAGTGGTTGAGATTATCAACAGTCTTTCTTCTCCTATCTAGTACCACGAGATCTTGGACTATCAACTGCGCCATCATGTACGGCCTGAAACAACTATCGCTTCTGAGCTTGATGCTTCTCTCAGTATCGGCCGCGAAAAAAGATCCCAAAAGAACACTTGTATGAGTCTCCACCTCAGGACACTGGATG